GTCTTGACACACCATCCCTTGGGATGATAATTCCTCACGTCCACTGCTGGGTCACGGCACTCCCCGCCCCGCTCCTCAGTGTCTCACTCTGACATTTACCAAACGTCTGAGCTCCCTCAGGGACTACAAAATTAATTTCAGCAGTTTTGCTGTGAACCAAACAAAAACATAAAGACAAGCCACCCTGTGGTTCAGACCGTGAAATGCGACCCAGAGCATATTGGCAAGATTGCAGAAGGACCTTCCTCTCTGGGCATGATGTGCGGATGGATACTGCACCTGGTCCTCTTTCTCTGCTGGGTCATAGGGACCACAGTAATGGTCAGAGGGTGGGAAGGGTCAGGACGTCGAATTGCTGGGTTGTATGACACAAGGAGGGGAATGACGATCTTCAAGTCCAGTCTTCCTCTGTTCTACAAAGTTGAGTGGTGATTTGTGTGCAAAGATTGAAATTTTAAAATGTTAAAAAATTACTAAAATTCAATATTGTTATTAATTTTAATTGAAAAAAAGTTTGAATACCTTTTGTGTCCCAGAAACTGCCAGGAACAGTGAAAATATTTAAAAAATTATTTTTTAGGGGCCGGGGTTGTGGCTCAGAGGTAGACCGCTGGCCTAGCCGTGAGGCACTGGGTTCCATCCTCAGCACCACATAAAAATAAAATATATTGTGCCCACCTATAACTAAAAAATAAATATTTAAAAATTGTTAAAATTATTTAAAAAAGTTTTTGTGTATTCATTGCTTTTTTTTCTAGATGAACTCCTTGATTTACTCCTTAAAACAATAGCATGGACTTAATAGACAGCAAATGCCTTATTTTTTATTTATTATTTTGTTTGGGGGATGGATGTGAATGTGTTTGCAGATAAACCCTTTCTATTTTTTTCCTTTGGCCTAAATGAGACAGAAATTTATTTCTTATTCAGCCCCCAAAATACCTAGCTTTCTTCAAAGAGGTTCATGATAAACATTTAAAGAAATGGAAACACTAATCACCCTGATTTGATCCTTACACATTGTATATGTGAATTAAGTTATCACACTGTTTCTCATAAATATGTCAATTTTTAAAATTAAAGAATATTAGGAAAAAAAGAAGTTATTCAGATACCTAGGGTCCTGCTGTCTTTTGAAAATTTTGTTCTTTTTAGTTATACATGACAGAAGATTATATTTTGATATATCATACATACATGGAGTATAACTTCTCACTCTGTGGTTGTACATGATGTGGAGTTATTCTGGTTGTATATTCATTCATGAACATAGGAAAATTATGTCTGATTCATTCTATTGTCTTTCCTATTCCCATCACCCCTCCTTTCCTTCTATTCCCCTCTGTTCAATCAGGTGAACCTACACACACACACACACACACACACACACACACTATTGTGAGTAACCATCCATATATCAGACAGAAAGAACATTTGGCCTTTGGTTTGGGGGATTGGTTTATTTCACTTAGCATGATATTCTCCAGTTCTCTCCATTTTCCAGCAAATTCCATAATTTCATTCTTCTGTATGGCTGAGTAATATTTCATTGTGTATATGTACCACAACTCTTTTCTTCTTTTTAAATCTTTTGTGATTATAAATTCCATTAAATAAAGCAGTAATAGGCTCGCCTGGCATGCGCGGGGCGCTGGGTTCAATCCTCAGAACCACATAAAATAAAATAAAGATGTTGTGTCCACCAAAAACTGAAAAATAAATATTAAAAAAATAACAGAAATCCTGGGGTTGGAGTTGTGGCGCAGTGGTAGAGCACTTGTCTAGCTTGTGTGGGGTGCTGGGTTCAATCCTCAGCACCACATAAAAATAAAATGAAGGTATTGTGTCCAACTACAACTAAAACAAAATACTAAAAAAAAAATTAAAATAATGAAAATCCTATACTACTGAAGAATTTTCCATTTATTTGGTGCAGTTCTGCTTTATTACATTGGTTTGTAAAACTAGGATGATTTCACTAGAGAAAGAAAAACAGTAGCAAAATAATATCTATGACATTCAGGTTTTTTTTTCTTTTTGAGGTGTTGGGGATCAAAACTAGGGCCTGACCAGGCGTGGTGGTGCACGCCTGTAAGCCCAGCAGCTGGGGAAGCTGAGTCAGGAGGATTGGGAGTTCAAAGCCACTCTCAGCAAAAGTGAGGTGCTAAGCAAGTCAGTGAGACCCTGTCTCTAAATAAAAACACAAAACAGAGCTGAGGATGTGGCTCAGTGGTTGTGTGACCCTGCGTTCAATCCCCAGTACCAAAAAAAGAAAAGAAAAAAAAAAGAAAGAAAGAAAAGAAAAGAATAAAATAAAAAAATCAAAATCAGGGCCTGCCTTGTGTGTGCTAAATATATGCTCAGCTATTCAGCTACACCTCCAGCCATGTAAATTTAAAAAATAAAAATTATGGACTGGGGAATAGCTCAGAGATAGAGTAAGTACTTAGCATGTGCAAGTCCAGGGGATCAATTCTCAGTGCTAAAATATAAAATAATAATGAAGAGTAAATTTTTATTTACAATATTTTTATTGACAATATCCAAAAGTTTGACAATGTGTGCTGTCAGCAAAGCATGAGGATGTAGAAAACATAAACCCTATACATTGCTGGTGGGAATGTAAAGTGGTGCAACATCTATGGAGTATTATTTGATAATATTGAACAAAACTGCATATGAATTTAACTTTTGATCCAGCAATCCCACTTCTTGGAATCTAGCCTTATTCATTTCAGCATTATTCATAATGGAGATATTCTTTTTCAAATATTTATTTACTTATTTTTATGTGGTGCTGAGGATCGAACCCAGTGCCTCACATGTGAGAGGGAGGTGCTCTGCCACTGAGCCCAGTTCTTGAAATATTCTTGAAACAACCTAAATATTCAAACAGTTGGTACAGATTGAATGTACTATAACACATATACACCACAGAGTATTTTACATCTATAAAAAAGGAATAAGTAAGACCCATATAAATTCATAATGGATTTTATGCTTTATTTTTGTACAAAAAAAGGGGAAAACAAAACACATGTGTATTTGCTCATTTTTGCAAAAGGAAACATAGGAACTAATGAAATTAGTTAATTGCAGGAGATAGAGGAAGTGGAGTGGAACAGTTGGAAAGAGAATGCATTTCTTAAATACACCAGTTTGTACAGTTTGACTTTTGAAATAATGTTAATGTTTTAAATTTACAAAACATAGCTTGGTATGGTGGTACATACCTGTAATCCCAGCAGTTTAGGCTGAGGTAGTAGGATCACAAGTTCCAGGACTGTCTCATCAATTTAGGGAGAGCATCTAAAAATTAAAAAAAAAAACTACCTGGAGATGTATCTCAGTAGTAAAGCACCCCTGGGTTCAATTTCCATTACCTCAAAAATAGATAAATAAACAATCCAAATGTAAAATCAGGTTAGTTTTACAAGATGAAAAAATCCTGTAGATAGATGGGATGATTGTTGAACAACAATAAGAATGCACCTAATGTCATTTAACTGTACACTGAAGGTAAATTTTATGTTATATATATTTAACCAAAAATTTAAAAAATGAAAATTTAAATTTTAAACTCAGGGCTGTGCCAGGTGCAGTGACACACACCTTAATCCTGGTGAGTCAGGAGGCTGAGACAGAGCAATTCCAAATTCAATGCCAGCCTCAGCAACTTGGTGAGGCCCTGTTGAACTAAGTGATAACCTGCCTCAAAAATAAAAAAAGTAAAAAGGACTGAGGATGTGACTCAGTGGTAAAGCACCCCTGGGTTAAACCCCCAGGACAAAAAACAAGGCATGGCCCCCTTCCTAACATTTTATTATGAAAATATCCAAACA